CCCCCCCCCCCAATCTCATTTCCCGTTGCGTGAGGACGCTGTACTTTGAGGTTAGAGTGGTTAATCCCAGAGGTCAAGACCCACGTAGAATTACGACATGGGGGTGTCCGCTGTGGTACGCGGCCCAGAACAATGACAACAATGAGGAAGGAGATGAAAGCGCCAGTAAAGACCCCCCCCCCAACTCAGTACATCAGTCCTATTGGACAGCCTGAAGAGCGGGGGGCCCTAGTGATGGCGGAGATGTGAAGGGGGTCGCGGGGTTAACTTGGGATGCGGCTGTCTACACGTGGAGGCCGCAGGAGCAGCTCAGGGTGGTGCGTGAGTACAGAGTACAGCGATGCATCCAGAGCAGAGCGCTGCCACGGATCTTGTGAAAGGGTATGGGTAATATCTTGGATTACCCATAATCCACCACACCCTGCCACAATGCGGCACGCCTGGAGACCCAGGTGAACAAGTGGCTGCAAGACAGGCTTTTCACAAGGGCCCTTCTCCCGAAGCTCAACGATGTCCCCCACCCCCGGCTGGGAGGGGGTGGGGGTCCCCCCGGCTGGGAGGGGCTGTTTAAAATGAAGCCCTCTTGAATAATCTGCAAATACCATTTGACTACACCAGGTATGAGAACCCCAGCTGTGCTGCATACTTCAAGGGCCAGCAGGGGGCATAGCAGTTAAGAGTACAGTTTCACGATCTGTCCGCTAGCTCACGGCTTACTGGTGGTCCAGCTATAGTGTCCCCTGAGGGAAGGTGCATAACCATGGTAAACTGCATCTGCAGAAACCAACGAAGTCGTCTTAGATAAAAGGTGTCCACTTCTGCAAAGCAACTAAATAGAAATGTATGAATATGTAGTCCAGAATGCGGGGAAGGTCAGAGCGTGTCAGAAACAGCATTACCCATAATCCCCTGGCTCCCCTTTCGGCCATGTTTGTGATACAGCTGGTATGTTTAAAGGCCTATGGGCAGTTTAAGGCATAACCCACTGCCGTCCGCCCCATATGACCACGCCGGCTGGTCTATCCCGTTTGTGGAGACTTTTCCGCTGCGGGCAAAGTTTGTTTGGGAAATGAGGAAGCGGGAGTGGTATTATTGGCTCTGAAGGAGTCCATAAGATCGCACCCGGTTAAATCACAAAGCCCTGTTAAAACAGTTTCTCTCTTTATGCTTGGCGGTGGAGAGGGTACTCTGGATCCAGATAACCCCCTCCCCCCCCCAGGAAACTGTTTGTTTCCTTTCAAGTGTGATTAGCGTCGTGTTGCCAGTGGATATTTTTTGTGTGTTTTTACCTGTTTCGTTTTTTTCCCTCTTGAATGTTTGCATAAGCGGCGATGGTCAAGTGTCTCTTTGAAAAACATAACGGCAAAATTATGAAACTATAGATGCTGTTTTGGCAAGAGAGAAGGGGGGGGGGTTGCTTTCGTGATAAAATTCTCTTCTTGTCTAACAGCACAGTGTTTGTGAATTACACACGCCTGGACAGCAGATATTACGAATGGGACGACCCAGGTGATTTCGAACGTGGGATAATGTTTCAGTCGGAAAAACAGAGGTTGGCTGGGGGTAGGGGGAGGGGAGGGTATTTTCCGATGTCGCGAGCGAAATTAGCTTCAGATTTTGGAGGTCAGTGAACCCAGCAAAGTCAAATTCCGATTTAATAAGCGCTTCATTAGTATGTTAAGTAGCGAGTGTGTATGTGATAGGGATGAAGAAGCAAACGAACGTGACAATTAGGGAATAAACAAATAACGAACGTTTCAAAAGAATGACGCGGAAATATGAAGTTATTTTCTCCTTGTTATTTTTCACTTTGGTCCAGCACTTTAAGCACAAAATTGGATGCCTGTTTTTTCTTTTTTTTTTCTCTTGTGACTTTTTAATTGCATTTTTAATGTGGGGGGGGGGCCGCAGGGGAGGGAGGTGTATTCTCTGCACGAGCATCATTGCCAAGCGCCCGCGGAACACAGTGAGACGTGCTGGATCCCGTTAGCCCGCTCCCGGCGAGCGTTCCTGCTCTGTCCGTGCCACAATCTGACTCGCCCAGCCCCCCCGCTCCCTCTCTGACGAGGGACGCTCGCCTAACTGAATATTGACATGCCGCGAGTTGTTACAGGCCGACTCACATGTGTGTCACGTGGCGGGTCAAAAGTCCCGCCATAGAAATGTAACGATCTCAGGACCTGTGGCATCCGGGACACTCTGGTCCGCCCCCTAGAGGGCTTCCTCAGAATTGCGACGGATTACATGCTAACACGCAGTATAATTTTTACATCTTTTTCTCCCACACACCCCCTCCCCGTGTACACATCTCTTGCCCGCTGCACATCTCTTCACGTGCATTGTCTGTCTCCCCCATTGTGACACATCCCCATCCCAGTCTCTCCCCCCCACCACCTCTGTTTCTCCTTCCTCTGGTGACACGCGAAGGTCACCATGGGGTCGCATTCCAGATGGCGCGTGTGGGATAGTG